CCCCCAAAGCTTCTGCAACAGCTGGCCCCGACAAAGTTCTGCAGCTGCTGCCCCCTTGCAAAGACTTATCATGCAGTATTTTTCACTTACCTAATTTTCACAGGGCCGCCTTTGGCATCGCTCTTCCTTCTCCTCAGTCTTGGCGCATTCTGGGCTCTTGGCTCCTCTATGGTTCTAAAGCGGGGTGGGCAACTCTGGCCCTCCAGCTGTGCTTACAAATCAAAACTTGCTTCTGCCTACGGGAGTTATGTCTGTAACGGTCAGCCTTGCAGTGCCTCATGGCACTTGTAGTTCCTCAACAGCTGGAGGGCCGGACCGCCCTTGCTCGCTCTAAAGTGTGCAGAGTTGGTGGGCTCACACTAAAATCCAGGGACTCACCCAGTTTTATTACCCCTCTCAGCCTGTCACACCCTTGAATGATGTACAAATCTCCCTTAACTCCTCTCATTCACCTGACCTGACCCGACCCATCTCTCTTCCCTGCATAGTTGTCAATTCTGTGTAAAGTACAGTAAACGGTTTTATATTGGAGTTTACCAGTCCTATGTTAGATGTGGTGATGCGTCTGTTTTCTCTGGCTTTTTCTTCCTTTTCACCTTGTGATTCTGCCTGTAACACACTTCCTGTCCTACGGTAACAACACTCATCCATCCTACTGTATTTATGGAGGAGCAGTGTTGTCACCCTAGGACAGGATGTGTGTTAGGACTACAGAACACCCCCCTCCTCATCTCCATAATATAGCTGAGATGTTCTGTAATCCACAGAGAGGGCTGGGGACAATGCTAAAAGTCAGCAGAGGCAAAGTAGTCAGTTTACTCCATTCCTGACAGGTATTATTTTACTTTTTCCAGCATATACTGTATAACAAACGCTTACATACACTTTACACACACTTTTGAACACAATCAGATTCTACCACTTGAAATGTCACCCTAAAAAATCTTCTCTCAGATTGTCATCACTGGGAACGTTTAGAGGACATATGGTCTGACTGTGAAGGAAGCTCAATCTCTTCTTCTTCTTCTGTATTAAGCAGTAATTATTTTCAGAGTTTATATTTTCCATGTTTCCAGTGTATACAGTAGAAAGTGCTTCTTACATAACACAATTAAAGTTATAGAATAACTGTCTATTGTGTTCCCTTTTCTCCAAAGCCATAGCACACATAAATGTAAACGTATCTTGTATTTCCAGAACATTGCTCTATTATTCTGATCATTCTGGTTTGTGTTTAACAGAACAATGCTTATTAAGTGATGCAGTACATCCCTGGAGGCAGCCCAGAGTCACTGATAAGACTGTGGATTTCTAGCCATGTACATACACTAAGGGGGCTATTCACTAAAGGGCCGAAGGATACAGCTGTAGCTTTGGCTGATCCTTCGGCTCTGTTTGACTGAACCGAAGGGCTGCTGTACAGGCTTATTCACTATAGCCCCTACAGCAGCCGAGCCGAAGGCATATGCTTTGGCTCGGATGAGCTGAAGTGTCAGCCGGAGTGGGGCGAATGGCCTGCCGAAGGGCCGGCTCTCAGCCCCGCAAATGACAACTGGGCGGAGCCAGATCTCACGGCTGGCTCCGCCCAGTTGTAATGACAGTTCAGCGTCCCCAAATTACCTGGGGAAGTGATTTTTTCTGAAGATATGGATAAACAACGCGATTTAACAGCCTTTGAACGTGGGATCATTGTTGGCGCTTGGAGCCATGGAGCGAGTATCAGCAAAACAGCAGAATTCGTAAAATGTTCAAGAGCAGCTGTTGTTAAAGTGTTTAAAGACTGGACTGTCAGCCGAAAATCTGGGTCTGAACGTGCGAATTGTGGCCGTCAGCGACTAGTCAATGTTAGGGCAGAACGGAGAGTGGCAAGACTGGTACAAGACAACAGAAGGGCAACAGTCATCTCGTGGAATCATCCCGTGGCCCAATGAAGTACTGATGGGGTGGTCATAATAATCTGGCCACTCAGTGTATATGAGAAGCTACTAGTTGCATTCCAGGAGTTATTTAGTATTGCTTCATTAATACTTGAAATAATATCCTGTGGTTTTATTTTTTTTATTATCTTGTTGATCAAAATTATAGTAATTTTTGATCCATATTCCTTATTGTCACCAGTTATGTTTTGATAATTATTTTGCACTGATTTTAATGAATAATTATATATATATAATTTTGCACATTATTGTTTTTATTTCGTCCTCAAGTTAGCGCAAATAAAGAACTCAAGTTA